TCTAAGTAGACATTAAAACTTGGTTTTATATACATTTCAATTTACATTTTCAACAGCGTTAACCCATTCTCTCTTCACCATTACTTCTCTGCCACATGGATCCCACCTAAAAAGAGTCCATGGATTTAAGGCTTTTCCCTAATATTCTCCATTAATTTATCATCATCATCATCATCATCATTGCAGTTGTGCTCAAAATCCCCAACCTGGATCAAGTTCCATTGTGTTAAACAGTATACAAACATCTAGAAAGATGCAGAATCTGCCGTAAAGAGTTTACAATCTAACTTGTAATAAGACACAGCTACAGATCACAACAAACTATAATAGGTGGAAAGAGGGAGAGAGGATAAGAGCTCTCCTTTGGAATAACAGTGTGGGCAAGTACCCCAAGCACTCCTTTCCTGGGGTTTTGCTTTATTAAACAAAAACAATAAATGCTCTTCCCAGGGATCCTCTCGCAGGACTGCTCAAACCATACTCTAGATCCTCCTTCCCCTAGAGAGAAACATCTGCCTAACAATTCAAATGCCTCAGTAGGTCAGCGTGCTCACTTAGCCCCGTATCAACCGCTGCTACCAGACTGGGACATTTCATGCTAAAAATGCCAGTTTGTTACTGTTAATTACAAAGGGAAAACTGTTACATTTCTTAAAAGTTTACAGCCATAACGGAAAGATTTCTAGCTATTTCAGATTATTATTTCTGCAGTGCTACCAATTCTCATGGCTTTACTAGGTCTCTCACAACGTTTGGTGTTCGATCCTGAAGGGATGAATCTCAGCTCAATAAAAAAAAAAAAAAATCTTATGGTTGCAGAGAAATGCTTGACAGCGTGAAATCTCAAGGCCCAAGAATCAGAAGGCGAATCAAAAGAACCCATTAAAAATAAATTATTAATGATTTTTAAGTTGAGCTCATGATTTAACTGGGAATTGGTCCTGCTTCGAGCAGGGGGTTGGACTAGATGACCTTCTGGGGTCCCTTCCAACCCTGAGATTCTATGATTCTATGATTTGGGGTGGGGGAGGGTCTGCGGGAAGGGCTGACTCATGTTTTTTGAATACTGGGGATTGGCAGGTCTGGTATTGCAGTAAGCCATGGATCAGGGGTCACTGTGATAGTGGCGCTACAACCAGGAGTCAACAGGTCGACATTCAGAACGTAAAATCATCCGTATAACACGGAATCCCATTACAGGCACTGCACGCAGCAATATCTATCGTTAAAGTTGCCTGATACTTTCAATTATAAGACCGTTTTCAGTTGCATACATATAAAATTTTGCCAAACTGCTTGGGCTGAAATTTTTCATGTCGGTCTTCGGCCTGAGGCACTTTCCAGACTTTTTGGAAAGTTTCAGCTAAAACAGTTCAGCTGCTTCCGAGGACGAGGGGAGGGGAAAAATGTGTTGTTTTGCCCATGTTAAAAACCTTTACAACTACAATTGTTTTGGCAAGAAACTCTAGAGCCTCCATGCTTTGCAGCAGGGACTTGAAATTTGGCAGGGGGGGTCATGCTGGTGTTAGCGATGTGCCTTTTTCTGTCTTTTTTTTTTTTTTTTTAAAAAAGAGCCCAAATCATTCCTAGTTATAAACCTCTGAAAAAACTGCACTTTACATATGTTCAGTATTAAGAATCTGGAGGACAGTTTCTCTAAAGATTCTGTTCACACCAAGCACGCGCTCTCCCCCTCACAGCCTCTACATGCTAACCAAATGGTACATGCACCATCCCCACTGACCAAACGGACATGTACCATCCCAGGACTGAGCAGGGCTTCTCCTGCAATTGCTCCTCTCCGCTGCTATGTGCCAGAGTGGGGCTAGGTGCCAGAACTGAGAGCAGGCGGATTGCCTCCTCTGTGCACTCAGTGCTCCCCCTGCCAGTGCCCAGGCAGAGAAGAAGAAACACCTTGACTCGTATGCACAGGGGTGAGAGAACGGCACAGGAGAATTGAACTGGTGGAAAAGGGGTCGAGAATAGAGCTGATTGGAAATTTTCAGACAAAACTTTTTTGGGAGGGGGTGGGGTCACAAAATGCTAATTTGTCAAAACCCCAAACTCTTCATGGGACTGTACTGGAAAAACTTCCATTGGGAAAGGCTTTCCAGGTCCAGGTCCTAATTGCTGGTTAAAGCCCACCCCAGAATAGGCTGGGATAGAGGAAAGCAGCACAGAGTGAGTGTCCCACATCCCAGGTGAGTGCCCTAACCCCTGGCTATTGGCTATTTTAGGACAGATCTCTCTCTGTTTTTTTCACAAAAACCTTTGAAAGGTCTTGGTTTCATTCTGATGTGGAATGGGAACATTTTTGAAAAATCAGATAGTTTCATGGGAGGGGAAAACGATTTCTTGATCTAGCTAGGAGCTGGGAAAAGGAAAGGAACACGGACGGGAACAAGAGAGGCAGGAGACGGGCTAAGGCTAGTGCTGAAGGGGAAGGCAGTAGCAGGGGTGAAAAGGGGCTTGGAAAAAATAGCATATAATCACGTAATTAAAGACTACCATAATACTACTCACAAGAGGGCCGAAAGAAGGTTGCACAGGAAACCTTACTCCTGGCATTTCCTAGCTTTTGAGTGCTTGGAGGAAAAACTTGACATCTGCTTTGCTTCAGTCAATATTTAACATCTCAGGTAAAAAAAAAATATTAACTATCACCTGAACAGAAATTAATACATACATACTTAATCAGAATCAAGTCTTGGTTGGTTACTCTACAGCTGCTAACTGCTAGAGCAAAGATTAGCCCTGTAAACAGATCACTGTATCCATGGTAAAGTGTCATTCAATGTTTAACTTTTTAACACATAAGAAGGTACTTTGTTAACTGCTAGGAACCAGGAGGTCATTATAGCTACTATAAACTGTGAAAACGGAAAAAACAATCATCTGGTTATAGGACTGCGGGAGAGCCAAGGGCTCTCAGCTCCTCCAGCTGGATACTGACTGCCAGGAAATGCCCTCACCATCATTCATTATTCCTTAGTCCAACATTTTGTTTAGCAACCTGTTTCTTTTTAAAAAAAGTTATTTTCACAGTCAGGGGAACTTCCAATTTGTACTGAAAATAAACGGCAAAAACGTGAATCAGCTGTTAGTAAAGCCTCCCAGACCGCAGGACAAATGTTGCTATGAACATTTCACTTTTGCTCCTTCTGGGTGCTTGTTTGGCCAAAAGATGTTTACAAAGTTTTTGCAGAATGGTTTTCTCGGAAATTATATCTATGTAGTGCTGCCACTCCACTGCCTCACACATAACAATTCTTTCCCTGTCTTCATCACTTCAACGCAGAAGCAATGTTCAGGAAAGCATCTACAATATGGGAGAACACTTGTTTAATTCAGCAGGTCTCTTCTGGCCTTCCAGAAGTACATCCATTGAAAGCAGATTGCATGCTACAGACTTTGGTCCCAATCCTGCTCCTCTGAAGAGCTCTGCTGACTTCAGCGGGGGTCTGCCCATACAGCGGTCACTGCAGGAACAGATTCTGCCACCCCTATTTGTGTTAGCTGGTGCTTACTTCACCAGATGTTCCCTTGAAAAGGTGGCCACAGCTGATATTTATTTATTAGGAGCAGTATTTCTCAACTATCGGTTAAACAGTGATAGGTTTAACATTAGCTGATGTGTTGAAATGACACGATCATCCAACTCCAGTAGGTATCGCACAAAATGTAGTGCCCAAGTCCCAAAGAGAGATGCCCAGAAATATCAGATACACAGAACTTTTGGGGAGGCTTCCAAAACCTTGCATAAGAATCCAACAACGGAATCTGCATGCTTTTTTGCTATAGAAATGGACACAACATTTTTAAGGCATTGGGTGTTTTTTTAATATACAATATGATTTTCACCAATCACAGTCCAGAAGTAATGCATATTTAATGTATTTTGACACAATTAACATTTACGGGCCTGATGCTAAGAGGCCAACTACCACTGAAGTAAGATCAGGGTATTTATTTTTAATGATGGAACTAGTGTCCAAATACACCATACCCCAAACAGTTATTAATTTTTTGGACTTGCCCCTGAGTAGTTATTTATAGCACCAGAATATACTTACAAATAAAGAGATTTTTTAGTCAAACACATGAAAAGGAACTGGAAAACCAGAAGGGTCATTCATTGCCTCACTGTTTCTCAGTCAATTAACATTATCTCTAAAGTACAGTACTGTGATGGAGAGAAGAAAGTTAAAAGTACCAAAATAGTTGGCCCCTAAGCCCAATATAAGCAATCACTATTGAAGTCACTCAACATGATTATAATTGTAGTGCTATACTGGATCATTGAAGGACAACTCCTGCTTCCACTAAAGTCAATGGCAAAACTCCCGTTGATTTCAATGAAGCTAGATTTTGGCTCTTAAATCTTAACTCTATTTAATCAGGCAAGTGTTAACAGTTTTGTATGTATAAAATGTAAATAATTTAAGTAATAATCTTGGATATTTGTTAGATTAGTTGATTTAAAGGGTAATTTAGGCTCAAAATCTACGATTTTTTTTAAAGAAGTCTATTACAAAGCTCACATTAAAAGAAAATAATTGATAAAAATAATTTCTTCTTAATTGCAATTGAAACTCTTCCCTGTGAATTTAATCATTCAGGGGACATGTATGCAGGGCTGATGAGGAAGCATTACCCTAAAGGACAACAGCTGCAAAGTGAAACTGACGAGGAAGAGAAGCAAAACTGCCCTGCCTGCTTCAACTGTTCAAGATAAATAGGATGCAGAAAGCAAGTGAACAGCATAAGGAGAACATCAGACTTTGTAAATTTTCAGTTTTATGCATGTAAAGCACAACTTGTAATGCAGATTATAAAAAACCAAATGAAGGATGATTTTGTGATTAAAGTATCAGGAGTTTGGGTTCTATTCCTGCCTCTACTTCAAACTCCCTGTGTGACAAACTGGGTAATTTTGTCATATTTAATTTAAACCTGCCAGTGTTCTTTTAATTAGAGCTTTGCATTTTTTCCAAACTTACCTGGAATAATCAGAAATAAGAGCCCGGGGAGAGTTTTACTTTCAGTTTCCAAGAGGTCTTTCCAGGGCCCACACTTTAAGACCTGAGTAGCTGCTCCACAACAGTAAATAAATTCTTCATACAGAGGGATCTGCTCTTCTGATCCTGGTCTTGTGCTCTCTGCTAAACAGAACAAGAGGCTGTTATAACATATCAGTAAATATCTATGTACAATTAGCACCACAGCACTAAACACCCCATCAGTAAACAATAAATAACCAAAGAAACCCAGTTCCCATGTCCAGTGTTCAACTAAACAACGACCTGATTCAGTAACTACTGCTTTAGTATATTGTAGACATTGGTATAAAGATACAGAGGCCACTAAATTGGGGGCACATGACTCTGACATATACATTGATCAATCAGGCCATAACACAGTACAATCGTTACACCTGCTACACCTCTGGGCCCATCCATCTTGCAATACATCTCATATTGCAAAGCTGCTAGTGCAAAGACTGACTGGGGTTTTCTGGACAAGGAGAAATCACCCCCAGAGCTATATATTTACAGTTTTTACTTTTGGTCCAATAGCAGGAAACAGATAACAGAGAAGGATTACTTTATATTTACTAAAACAGGACAAGGAGGTCCTCATTCAACAAGGTAAACTTTCAACAATGTGAGTAACCCCACTGACTCAGTGCTTAAAACTAGGCATGTGTTTAAGTACCTTGCTGAACTGTGGCCACAGTAAGACAAAATGGGTTCTACACTAATGCACAGAAGATGCTTTGCTCCAAACTTCCTATGTGACTTCTTGCGCAAATCATGCAATAACTTATCCGTGCCTCAGTTTCTCACACCATAAAATGGTGATAAGGAGAGTTAAGGAGAGCTGTGACAAATGACAATGTTTATAAAGTGCTTTGAGAGCCACAAGTGGAAGACTCTAATACTGAAGATGCTACATGCTGTATAACAAGACAAGACATGACATGACTGCAAGTGGACACTACTGACAAAGGAACAGAGCATCACCATTAAAGTGAAGCTGTCAGCATCAAATCTGATATTAAGTACTTTAAGTTACTGCTTCTGTCTCCGAGTTCCCTTTGTCAGTTATTATGGTTTTTACATGATATATTCCTAACTTTTTAAAGAAAGTTTTCCTCTCCCCTGAAACTGAAACTGAGTGAAAAGACCCAAAACAAAACTAACAGGGGAAAACTGACTAGCTAAAAACCAGATCCTGCATTCAGATCCGAGAAAGCAGGCCATGGAACTCCAAGGAGCAAGGTTCTACCCAGGTGGCTGTAATGGGCAGATCCTTGTCTAAAAGGAAAGAAACAGTGCACTGATTAGGCACAACTGCACATTAAAAACAAACTGAAAAAAAGAAAAGAAAAGAGAATATTTTCCCCCTTAGGCATTATAGTACATGCAACAATGGTAGAGTAATAAAAATTGTGTTCCCGCTTTAATCTCAATAGGAATAACAAAGACTCTCAGCAGCTCTGAGATGGGATGTTCACCCCACACTTACCCTGAAGAGGTTAATGGAAGCCAGTTAGGCCAATTAACCTATTAAGCTACAAACTGGAAGAATTAAGGCTGAGAAAAACGCCCTAATTAGGGGAAGTTCATCTGTGCAGGAACAGTCAGGGCTTCTATAAAGCCAGGGAGTTGATAGCAGAGAGGGGCCTCAGGGAAGTATTCTGCAATCGCTCCACGGGAGAAGGGTGGTCTGTTTGGGGCTAGAGAAGCAAGTAGCCTACAGGGAGGAGGAAATTCTGGGTCTGGCAAACCTAGGGAAGGAGGGAAGCCAGAAGGGTGGGAAAGGCTCAGGTGAAAGACAGCAAGGTCCAGAATGGGACAGACCTCAGTTGCTCATTAGAGGGTCTTTGAGCTGGAACCCGGAACAGAGGGTGCGCCTAGGTTCCCCTACCAGCCGCTGGGGAAGCGGTACCATGGGGCAGTGAATGGGAAGACCGCTCAAGACTGCTGGTAAGGAAGGCCTTTGTTACCCCGGAAGGGAGAAACATACATAGTGAGAAGAAAAGGAGTACTTGTGGCACCTTAGAGACTAACCAATTTATTTGAGCATAAAAGCTTATGCTCAGATAAATTGGTTAGCCTCTAAGGTGCCACAAGTACGCCTTTTCTTTTTGCGAATACAGACTAACACGGCTGCTACTCTGAAACCATACATAGTGAGGTGACTGGAGGACCAAGTCACAAAGAGGGAGCACACAGCCTCAGAGAGTGAAAGAGAAAGCAGCAGCCAGGCATGCAGGGAGCAGCAGAAGGGGGCCTCACATCTGTAAAGCGCTAATCCCCGGAGCTCCACCAGGAGCGAGTGGACCCCATGACAGGCTCAACAAGACTAACATACCAGCCTCACTAAACACAGAATGGGAGGTGATATCATCATGGCATACTGATGTGTGTTACCACCATCATCTATAATTTGTATTCAGATAAGGCCCAACTGTGATCAGAGCCCTCATTGTGGTAGGTGATGTCCAAACAGATAGTAAAAGACAGTCCCTACCCTGAAGGCCTTATGATCTAAATAGACAAGTCAGATAAAGGGTGGCAGAGGAAAGCACTGGAGAAGTTACTTGCCCAACATCACAGCCAGTCAATGGTCAAACTGGAAATAGAATTCACATTTCTTAGGCCACAGTGCAGTACCCTGCCTCCCAGCCTTGTTTGTACTCTCAACCTCACTTCCACTATAATGTCGTTTTTGTTTGGGAATATTTATAGGATACAAGGAAAGGTCTTCATCGTCTAAAGCTACGTTGGCTTGTTCAAATTATATATCTGTGTCAAAATTTAATTTCAGTGTGTTTTCTTAATTCCTTAACCATCTGAATACAGCAATGAAAAAGAAAACAATGCACTATAATATGAAAATATAAGGGCCACACAAATATAACAACCAATACGTATATTCATCATTTAGAAACTTTCTAGTATCCAAGTGGAGGTCACCTGGGAACTGAATAATTTTGCCAACCAGGAGCTTTTGTTCACCTCTAGACACATCTGTAATATTAGTCAAAAAGGTGTGCATGTTCATCAACTCACTAGTTATGAATAAAAATGTCATCAACGTGAACTATGACACACATGTGAATGTTTGCCAAAAGGATCATTTATCAAGAAGTGGCAGGTGCATTTGTCAAACCAGAAGACTTGCAAAGTTCATAAGCTTCAGAGTAACAGCCGTGTTAGTCTGTATTCGCAAAAAGAAAAGGAGTACTTGTGGCACCTTAGAGACTAACCAATTTATTTGAGCATGAGCTTTCGTGAGCTACAGCTCACTTCATCACGAAAGCTCATGCTCAAATAAATTGGTTAGTCTCTAAGGTGCCACAAGTACTCCTTTTCTTTTTACAAAGTCATAAGCGTTGGCCTTGTTTCAATGTTATTTTATACATATATCATCTCTTGGGGCTGTGACCCAAGAAACCCTTACTACCAACTGGCAAAGAGGTTACAGGAATGTCCTGATTCTGTTATGTACATTCTGCTTCAAAGAATGCCATGTGAGGTCTTAAATGTATCAAGGTACGAGTCACCACAAGAATTAAAAAAAAAACAAAACAGGTTTTCTCTCAGACAAGAGATCTTTATTCACCTCTCTCTGTGTCAGATGTAAACCAAACACTGAAAACTAACGTAATGGATACCCATTTACATATGAAATCAACGGAGAAGGAGCGCTCGGGAAAAAGAAGCCCTGGGTGGTTATACTGTCTCTATGTACAGACAAACTTTTTCCAACACTTATGAAGTAAATGGGCAATGCTTTTACATTGATGAAAATGGGAGATCAGCCACCCTTGGTCGAAATGCTGCAGAGGACTTTTGGAGGTGAGATAAACTTATTGAGATCAGAAGTTAACCTGTTAAAGTTTGGTCTCTAGAAAGCAAGTTATGATTTTGTTTTATATGCAAGCCTTTGTTGCCAATATTCTGACTCATTAACATTTAAATCTTTGATAATAAACTTATTCATATATCTACATGCTGTAACATTAAGCAAGGTGATGATCCTGAGTTGAATTCTACAAGCTGGTGTGCACAGTGGTCCTTTAGGGACAGCAGACCTGGTATTTGTGTCCAGTGGAGAAGGGGATGAACACTACAGGGAAACACTTCAAAAGGACTCAGGGACTGGAGTGCACCTACTGTTAACCCACAAGGCAAAGAAAGAGCTGGCATAGCCCAGAAGAGTGTGTTTGGGTGATTAACACGCTGGAGGTGTCAAGGAGCCAACACCAAGGTAAACACAAGCAAGACCCTCTCATACCATAGGCAGCGGGTAACAAGGTGACAACTCTCAGTCTTGGGTACCCTGAGAACCATCACAGGGGCTACTGTAATAAATAGGCCTACATGTTTACCCTAAACATAAGCTCAACTGTGAAGAACAAGTGAAAGTTCATAAAGTGTCACAATTACTTATAACAATGAATGTTAATGGAAATAGGTGCAAAAACGAGACAAAGACTGAATTAATCAAAATGAAAAGGCATACTGAGATAATTCAAGGACTGTATTAAGATGATGTCTGGTAAACAAAAGAAGCGTGGAACTGGAAATCCAGGAACCAAATATGGTGAGTCGGAAATGAGGCCTAACTGGTGAACAAAATAATGAAGGGATGGGAAATTCCAGCCGTCACTCCCTTTTGGGGTCCTTTAAAAAAAGAGAGACTTTGGGAGGCAAATGCAACCATTAGCAAAGCTTTTTACACGGTCTCCCACAGCATTCTTGTCAGCAAGTTAAAGAAGTATGGGCTGGATGAATGGACTATAAGGTGGATAGAAAGCTGGCTAGATTGTCAGGCTCAACGGGAGTGATCAATGGCTCCATGTCTAGTTGGCAGCCGGTATCAAGTGGGGTGCCCCAAGGGTCGGTCCTGGGGCCGGTTTGTTCAATATCTTCATAAATGATCTGGAGGATGGTGTGGATTGCACCCTCAGCAAGTTTGCAGATGACACTAAACTGGGAGGAGAGGTAGATACGCTGGAGGGTAGGGATAGGATACAGAGGGATCTAGACAAATTAGAGGATTGGGCCAAAAGAAATCTGATGAGGTTCAACAAGGACAAGTGCAGAGTCCTGCTCTTAGGATGGAGGAACCCCATGCACCGCTACAGACT